GAGCTCTGATAAATATTTGTTAACTATTCGAGCTCTGATAAATATTTTTTAACTGTATGAGCTCTGATAAATATTTGTTAACTATTCGAGCTCTGATAAATATTTGTTAACTGTACGAGCTCTGATAAATATTTGTTAACTGTACGAGCTCTGATAAATATTTGTTAACTATTCGAGCTCTGATAAATATTTGTTAACTATTCGAGCTCTGATAAATATTTGTTAACTGTACGAGCTCTGATAAATATTTGTTAACTGTACGAGCTCTGATAAATATTTGTTAACTATTCGAGCTCTGATAAATATTTTTTAACTGTATGAGCTCTGATAAATATTTGTTAACTATTCGAGCTCTGATAAATATTTTTTAACTGTATGAGCTCTGATAAATATTTGTTAACTATTCGAGCTCTGATAAATATTTGTTAACTGTACGAGCTCTGATAAATATTTGTTAACTGTACGAGCTCTGATAAATATTTGTTAACTATTCGAGCTCTGATAAATATTTTTTAACTGTATGAGCTCTGATAAATATTTGTTAACTATTCGAGCTCTGATAAATATTTGTTAACTGTACGAGCTCTGATAAATATTTGTTAACTGTACGAGCTCTGATAAATATTTGTTAACTATTCGAGCTCTGATAAATATTTGTTAACTATTCGAGCTCTGATAAATATTTGTTAACTGTACGAGCTCTGATAAATATTTGTTAACTGTACGAGCTCTGATAAATATTTGTTAACTATTCGAGCTCTGATAAATATTTTTTAACTGTATGAGCTCTGATAAATATTTGTTAACTATTCGAGCTCCGATAAATATTTGTTAACTGTACGAGCTCTGATAAATACTTGTTAACTGTACGAGCTCTGATAAATATTTGTTAACTATTCGAGCTCTGATAAATATTTTTTAACTGTATGAGCTCTGATAAATATTTTTTAACTATTCGAGCTCTGATAAATATTTGTTAACTGTACGAGCTCTGATAAATATTTGTTAACTGTACGAGCTCTGATAAATATTTGTTAACTGTACGAGCTCTGATAAATATTTGTTAACTATTCGAGCTCTGATAAATATTTGTTAACTGTTCGAGCTCTGATAAATATTTGTTAACTGTACGAGCTCTGATAAATATTTGTTAACTGTTCGAGCTTTGATAAATATTTGTTAACTGTACGAGCTCTGATAAATATTTGTTAACTGTACGAGCTCTGATAAATATTTGTTAACTGTACGAGCTCTGATAAATATTTGTTAACTGTTCGAGCTCTGATAAATATTTGTTAACTATTCGAGCTCTGATAAATATTTGTTAACTGTTCGAGCTCTGATAGTATTAGTGTGAATGTTTTATTATATCATATGGTTAGTTCTAAATTTCAATTCAATTCCTTTGTTACTGTGCGTTCAAGGTTCATCACAAATTCATTGTTAAGACACGCGACCGCAGTCGAATATGTGAATGATGTTATCAAGAGTAGAAGAGTGTATCACTCGTTATAAAGTGCTATTAAATGGAGTTGACAAACTTTACATTTTGCATTAGCAAGTATGTCAAAATATATCAAATTATTCAAGCACAAACCTGCAAAAATACCGCCTATGAAAGCAGCAATAAGGCACGATAAAGTAATGCTGAGTGATTGAACCATGAGGTGATCCATAGACATGGTAGGTTTGGAGCCAATAACGGGATTTAGAAGTACTGGTACCGTCAATGTGAGCAAGCATATCCCAACCGTCTGCGGAGGAGATGGTCTTAAACCCGGTTATATATATTAAAGTCATTATTGTAACGGTATATTAGAACCGGACAGACACAAAGTGTGAAGGGCCTGAACGGAACCCCTCGGTTTCAGTTCCTTGTTTAACGTTATATAATGTTCTAATTGAAGCTGCTCTTTCAGCTACATAAGCTTTTAAATCCTTTAAAAAAAGGTGAATCTCATTCCATATCTAATCCTAAACTGGCTTTAAATTCTAAAACAATAAAAGTGTAACTGTGTAGTGTTTATTGTTTAAGAGTGTAACTGTATACAAACCTCGAAATAAGACAAGGAAGGTTTAATACCAGACATTACATATCTAACAGGTCCAGTCCCCACGTGACTGGTAATAGACTGGTAACTGGCGACGGAAGCTGCTCCACTCCTTGCTAGACTAGTTCCCTCTGAACTGGGTATTGAGCTGTGTGCTGAGCTTGAGCCACCCTCTTCATTACTACTGGTCCTACTCAGTTCTGATGGGACTATGTCTTCTGACATGTTCAGCCCGACATTGTGTTTTCAGCTCATGGCTCTTTCTCAGTGTGACAGTTCATCTTAAACTGGGCGATTGTTCTAAAATCAAAAAGTAAAAACCATATGATTATTTCCGAAATTCTTGTCAAAAACAAAGTTCAATCAGAGCTGCCCTGGCTAACGTAAGTTGGAAATCAACTGATCAGTGTAGAAAGGTAAGACGTGTTTCACAAATTTAATTGTACGAAGAAGTAATTCAAGTAACTAACAGTAATGATCAAATATCGAACTGAAGAACAATGCTCCTATAATAATGGCCTCAATTTCTAAATTTAAAGCTCTATTCACAGTCTACCTTTACGTGTAAGTGTATACTGCAAACTAAACCTTAACACGTGTACCATATTATGTAAAAACTAAACCTCTTTAAAAGACAAAAGACTCGTACATTACGTTTGCGTAGATAATATTTACTTATTGGCCGACTCAACAAAAATAAATGCGGCAATACTCAACAGCTCACAGCATTATCATGTTGTCAATTATTGTGCAAGATTAAAACAGTGGATATCCAACAGAAGGTGTGACAGAACTAAAAGTAAAAAGTATAAAAACAAAGCTTTGAAACAAAAAGTCAAGTCAAACTAAAGAAAAGCAATGATTCTATATCCTCTGTAAAACTAATATACTAGATTGCACTGTACAGATGATGTATAAACTTTGTAAATATTAACACAGGACGACGACAATGTTCAATGAGGCAAACGTTTATTCCTTATTTGGAAGACAAATGTGACTGTCGGTAACTCTACAACGCACCTGTGTCTATAGTCACAATATATCTGTAATCCAAACTATAATGGAGTTGCTCACAAGGTCTTGAGCTTCATATCTACAAGTAATCATAGTAGTATAGGATCATTAGCAAATCCAAATATCACGAGAAATTTCTGTACTCTTTAACACACAAGCTTTATTTGTTTTGACTCTATCCCTCATCGGACTTAATTAAGAGGGTGTAATGTGTAAGAATTATCACATATATTATATTCATTATATTATATACTTATATAGATGATATGCAGTACACACCCTGGCTCTATGATGTGAGTTATGAAGGGCTTTTTTTAATACCGAAATTAGAAATTAGAATTTTTGGAAATTAGAAATTAGAAAGATCATTACAAAATTACATGTGTCAGATCCCAATCAGTTAAATGAAAATTATTCAACCAAAGAACATAATATCGTAGATAAATAAATAAATGGTTTCAAAGTGTGCACGGAATATGGATACCGAATGAAAAGCTCGAATATGCCAGTTTTATGATATACAACATACTCACCTGTTCTGACGTTTTTCACATATTGCGTGACATCATTTCAGATAGAGATTCTGAAAATGAAAATGACGATGTGCAAAGTTGGGACTCAGAAACCGAAAATTGATAGCTTAAAACCAAATGTCGGGTGCAACTGATTTTATTTTACTCCTAGCTAGGCGGCTTAGACCCGTGACCAAAAGATATTTAGAGATTTATTATTGACCAAATACACAAATCCTGACACATTTCCTCACGAGGAAAAGTTCAACACCCTCCAAGACATGCTAACAGCAAGCCTTACGAGAAATGCGAAATTCTTGGACATGAAACATATGAACTCGATCAGAACTGGCTTTTACTAATTCGCTCGCCCAAAAATTATCATGTGACTTTGGTTTTTATGGTTTTGCAGCGGAACAAAACGGCTTTATATAAACCCCTATAATCGGAATCCCAATCCCAACCCTAACAGTAGCCATAACCCAAAGCTATCCATAACCCTAACCACAACCCTGACCCTAACCCGAGCCCTAAACAATCGAATTCCTGTTTTACTAATAGTAATACTAGTCTGTCACGTGAGCAAAACAGTTTTTTGCCCATAACTCTCCAGGGAAGCATTTTTACCCTACGTCATGGGGGGTGATTCGTAAACAGCGTAAAAAAAACGAGTAAAATTACTTTGATACCCTCAGCTAGGGCCTTTTCACAAAAATCTTTTTTTAATTTGGGCGAGCGATTTAGTGGGTTTTTGATTCATCTTTGACAGTCATAATTTTACCCGCATTTCATAATAACGAGTAAAGTATACACTTTCCTGGACCTAAATTTAAGTTTTGAATAAAATTTTTTGGTCATGACAAGTCATGGTGAGTAACATGAGTCATGACAAGTCACGATCGATGTACTGGAAGCTGAATATCCGAAGATAATTCATTGTGATAAAAGTAAAATCATAAAAATATCCTAGCGGTAGGAAATTTTCATATATCAGCTTTCCGCGACCCAAATTTTATTGTTATTTGACTGAATTTTCTTCAATGATTGATTAATGATAAAATTAAAAGCAGAAAAGCAGGAAGCATTACTGAAAACTGGAGGCAACGATCTGAAACTGCGTTTACATTAATTGATATAATTTATGTATCAGTATGGATACAGAAATAAGGATACAATTCTTTAAATTCAGTTATGTTTCTGTAATATCATTTAAAATGATTTTATAACTAGACATTAATAATCATTCAACAAATTTTCACATAATATCAAAACATAAAATCAAAAATATAGCAAATGTTGTTTTCATAGAAAAATAAAATGGTTCAAAAAATATGAATTTGCTTTAAATTTAATATCAAAAATTACGACAAAGATAAGAAAATCATTCTTCAAAAGTGCACTTAAAAGTTGTTCAAATACAAAATGCTACTCATAACTCGAGTCCTCCCATTGACATTAAACCATTCAGTCCGGCTAATGGATAAATCAAAATGAGAAATTTAAGTAGCTTAACTAAAATCTCTGACACTATAAATCTGGAATCCGTCTAACTTTGATCAGTGTTTGAAGTAATCAAAAGCAGCACCGCACTCCGGAACAGAACATTCCCCAAACCTGGTCCAATGGTCAGTGGTGTAACACCAAGGTTTCTGGATGTTCCTTGGGTCTGGGTTCCTGGGTGGTGGATAAGAGGTAACATATTGCATTTTGGGAGAAAAGAAGAAGCCTGGTATATCGAGGCACGGTATCGAGACTTCTTGCAGTAATATATGAATAATTTTAAACCTTTTTGATGACGATTATTAACTGTAATTGACATAAAGATTTTACCTGCAGGAGTTATCTTTGCCAATTCCGTATTTGGCTGTGTTATATGTAGTTGGATGGAAGGTTTGAACATGAGGATAGTCTTTATCCCAACGCTGAAATATGATCGTATTAAACTTCATAGTTCACAATATAAATGTTTATAATCCGGTGCAGTTTCTTTTTCCTGAATACATCAAAATGCTTACTATTTAAACAATATTATTAATAGTGATAGTATCCATGTTGTAAATGCAAAGTTTTATTTTATCACCTGACATGTAGCAGATCTGCCTCCCTCTAAAGTAGCCTTATTAACTAGTCCTCTATACCCTGTCCCATCCCCTGCAGAACACTCCACGTCCCAGATACACTGAGGTATCCCACAAGGGGAGGTTTCGTTCTGTACTTGGCAATGTGGCCCGATTGGCAGACTTTCTGTGTTACGACAAGGGCTCTCGCACTGTCTTCCTGTGAATAATTGTATGTTACTTAAGTGAGATGATCCTTGCCTATCATGTCTCCACTTTCTAAATGTTCGCTTATTAAAGGTTTGGAAGATATTCATAAAGTTGACTAGTCTAGTGGCTCACCCTTGATGTCCTTGTCCTGATATCCAGCAAACCGTGCTCCATGCCCCTCGGTATCCTTGTAACAGAATATGTTCGTCATCATGGGTTCCAGTATCACTTTTGGCCCTTTTAGAGTCTTTTTGTCTCCCTGGTGATATTTGTTATTTACTTATTTCATCCAGGTGGCGTTTTTTTTTATCATGAAAGCATAAAGTAACAAATGATAAATTTATTTCAGAATTTGTAAACAATTTTTAAAAAAACATGAACTCAGAAATTGTATTAAATCGGCCAATTATTAACGAATAAACTTTTACAGCATTGTTTGCACCTGCATCAAGAAGACGGTCTCAGAGTAAGGATTGCTAGGATTCCTTGCAATCCAGTTACCACTGACTGCAGTGAGAACCAGAGTAGAGGACTCGGGCACTGTTAGAGTGTCGTTGTCTGTCAACTGGCTTACTTTACCTAAGCAAACATCATCGTTATAGGATTTGTTACATTGAGAAAACATAACCAAAAATATTAAGATAATGATTTGCCTTCGTTAACATGATGAAAGCGAGTTCATTATCTCATTATCAAGGTTAGATAAGACGTCTGCAAGGTTAACCAAGAGTTTACAACTCGTACCAGCTATGGTGAAGTTGAGTAGTGGTCCTTGACAAGCATCCTCTGATATTGAACCAGTTTTGTAGGTTGTGTAAGTTCTGCTGTTAGCACATGATTTACATACTGCACCTCCTAACAGGACAGTTATGGAGATTAGTATTCAGATACTACACTTTCTTATCAGATGAATGAGTAAAATGCATTCAACTATAGCAAATTCTTTTGAAATGCGTCTTGTATGATGTTTCAGTGGCCACACGTGTCAGATTTGAATGGTATTTATTTAGAAATATATATATTTAAAAAAAATAATGACTTTATGTCATCATGGTGATATCATGTTATCACAAACAAAACACAATAAGATCCGGCATGTTACCTTTCTTATCCTGATAAGATCCTTGTGCACAGAGAGCGCACACAGTCTGTCCTGTCTGGTCCTGATAGGATCCTGGTACACAGTCGGTACAGTCCACACTCCCTGTTTTGTCTGCGTAACTACCTGATACATTTATATTTTAGTACTTGATAAATTTAATCGCCATAATGAAATTATGCGTGATTTATTGAATGTGATAGATGACACCATTCTATCATGAGTGCTGATGCTTTTCTTAAATTCTCTCGACTACAGTATAGATAAGATTAAAATAAGCTCACCAGCAGCACAAAGACTACACTCAGGAGACCCAGCCTTATCAGCGAAACTACCAGCCCCACAATCAGTACATGCAGTAGAGTTAACAGGAGAGGTAGTACCAGCAGCACAAAGAGAGCAGGTTACTGATGCAGGAGCTGCGGAGACGGTTCCAGCTGCACAGACCGTACAGACAGAAGATCCTGCTGAGTCCGAGTAGGAACCTGGGAGTGAGGTGTAAATGAGATGTTTTATTGAGTTATACTTTTGTTCACTTTCACTCACAGTCAGCCGCTCTGACATGGTTAACCACCTTCCTTGTGTTGTTGGTTAATCATATGAGCGGGATATAAATTCTTCATTTCATTTCATTTCATTTCATTGGCCATTGAACCTTATCTGAAATACTTGAGAGGGAGACGCATGGTACCTCTTTTTAGGAGTACTTTATTTGATCATTACTGACTGGTTGAAAAACAGATTTAGTACTTAAGCCGAGACTTTGTCATGAAATTCTCATGACAAAATGTCGGCCATACTTTTTACTTACCAGCAGGACAAGAATCACAACTAGAAGAACCAGTGTCCTCAGCAAAGAACCCTGCTTCACATAAAGGACACTTATCAGCTCCAGCTTTGTCTTCTGTGGAGGTTCCTACAGCACAGGGATCGCACGAGGGGGATCCCGCACGTGCAGCAAAGTGACCTGAAAAGTATTATTAGATAGGAAGTATTTAACTTTTTCATTAACTATGCTCAGAATAAAACAAAGAAAAGGTTGTATATGGTAATTGGTAACATATTGTTGGCATGCATTAATAAATTTTAAATTCATACGAAAAACTAATTTAATTTACTCCAGGGGAACAAAGATTAGCTTAACATTACGAAAAGAGGAGTTAAGTTTTACCGGCAGTGCACAGCGTGCAGTTAGTTGATTAGCTTAACATTACTAAAAGAAGAGTTACGTTTTACCGGCAGTGCACAGCGTGCAGTTAGTTGATCCTCGGAGTGACTCAGTAGAGGACCCAGCAGCACATTTAGTACACTCTGCGGACCCTGTGGTGTTACTAAACAGTCCTGGCGTGCACATGTTACACACGGTGGCGTTCGGCTCGGAGTAGTTACCGGCTGCACACAAGCTGCAAGTGGTGGTACCGTTCTTATCGGAGTATTGTCCTCCCGGACATACCGAGCACACTGCTGATCCTGTTGAGCAACTAAGTGTTAGCGTTTATAGGTAGCTGGTAGAGATATCGTGATTTGATAATACAGGACAAAAGTATTATCACCTGCATGTGGGAATCAGCTTTTAATCTAATTGATAAGTTGATACTTGAAACTAAAACTTTAAGTTCTATATCAAATCAAATAATACATAAGAAGCAGATAAAGAGATAAGCAAAGTCCCTACCATCATCGCTGCTAAAGCTGCCTGGTCTACAGAGAGAACAGCTGTCAGACCCGGTGATGTTTAGTGTTGATGAACCAGCTTGACAGGCTGTACAAATGGCAGACCCTGTGCTATTTGAAAATTTTCCTGCGGATATGAATTTGATCTTAAGATATATTTTCGAGGAAAAGAACAAACGTGTCATCGATTTTACCACTGACTATTTGAACTAGGATTAAGGATTAGGATATTATGAGCTACGGTAATCGGTTGGAGATTATGCGTATGGGAAAGTGCTGGGTTTATTTGTAAAGTTTTAAAATGGGCAACAGAAACTCAAACTCGACGAAAACCCCACTAAGTTTAACAGGACGAAATATAAACGTACCAGCAGAACAAGTCTCGCACACAGTGGCTCCAGTGTTATTTCCAGTTGAGGAACCAACGGGGCAAGAAGCACATATCGGGGACCCTGTTACGTTTGCAAACTTTCCTGTAGACATTCAAGTGTGATTTAATATATTTTGACCTTTTACTGCAATTTTGAGATTTAAGTTAATACATTACATGTAGATGTTATCTGGTTTTTCTGAAAAGTATCAAGAATATTTATTTAGATAGAATCAGCTGGATATTTCATTTATTTCCAAATGCAGCATCAGTGCAATGAAATCCATACACAAACTCCACACCACCACACCACCACACCACCACACCACCTACCAGCTACACAATCATCGCACTTAGCAGCACCCGCGTTCCCATCAGTAGAACTCCCCAAAGCACAGGCACTGCAGTTAACAGATCCAGGGGTACCAGCATACTGCCCTGAGTGACACAGAGTATGAGCAATTCAATACAATTACAAAAATACAAGTACAGTTAATCCCGATTTACTGCGCCCCAATTTACCACAAACCCCGATTTACCGTGGCCATTTCCTTTCCCCAAATACCGCTTAACATGCACAATGTTTACTAACAAAACCCCGATTTACCGCAAACCTCGATTTACCGCTGCTGTTTCCTTTGCCCAAACTCTGCGGTTTTACTGTAATATTTAATAGACCAGGTGGCAGTAACACACTGAGTCTGAACACATAGTTACAAAACGGTGAAATAACTTTAAATTAGATAAAAAACAAAATGAAAATCTTAGCGACGATTAGTTAATTAGCACAAGGTAATTAACACATTGTCGTCCTTTATACTTTTATGAGAGATGAAAACAAAGTAATGAGCTTATCTCTGGAAAACCTGCGTGGCAGGGAGTACAGAGGGGGGCTGCCTCTACTGAGAAGGAACCTGCACTGCAGACACTACATTTCACAGCCCCTGTTGAGTTCTGGAAGGAGCCAGCCGCACAGTTATCACATTTCAGAGATCCTGGTGGGAGGAGGTGAGTTTACTCAACAAAGTCTATTAATGTCTCCAGAACTCAATCAGTTATGTTTCCAGAACCACCTTCAGTACTGTGATAAAATCGATTTGATATAATGCAATATGTGAATGTTTTAGTTTGAACAATCCATATTAAACCTGATTTGATATAATAAAAATATGTGAATGTATTAGTTCTTTAGTTTGAACAATCCATATTAAACCTGACTTGATATGATACAAATATTAAACCTGATTTGTCAGCATAAGTTCCAGGAGCGCAGTCAGTACAGAGTTTGGCTGCCATTTCAGAGAAAGACCCTGGTGAACACAAGTCACAGCTTGTAGCAGCTGTGTTATTCTGTGCTGAACCAGCTGCGCAGTTGCTGCACACCGTGGACCCTGGGTAAGGATATTTAGGTGAGGTGCACACCCCGAAATAAATTATACAGAGTGTACATACAGCAAAAAATAAATTTGAGATCGCTCAGCTACTCCTCTGTAGATTTAGAAACAACTTAAAACCGGGGATGGTGCTCTTCCAGGGGCAGTGTTGGAGTATTTACTCCCAAAAATATCTCAAAACATACAATAAATAAACTATTAAAAAAAATATTAAAAAGTTTGTTAAATACAAAATTAACTCAAATATGATAACACTCTCATCATTGCTTTTAATTTTGTTTAAGTCTGTATACAAAATATAAGCTTAATGTAATCTTATTCAGTTTGAGGACTATCAAGGACTTTAAATCATTGAATAAAGTCCATTGGATACAACAGAAAGTTGTATAGCATATATTCTGACAATTACCTGTTTCATTTGAGAAGGTACCAGCACTGCAGTCAGTACATACTATAGCTCCTTCAGTAGGAGAAAAGGAGCCTGCTGTACACGCGATACATGCAGTAGCGGCTGTGGTGTTCCGGGCTGAGCCAGCTGCACATTTGGTACACATTAAGGAGCCTGCGAACAAATATGTGTCAGTTCAGTAATTACACTTCAGTTCAGTAATTACACTCAGTTCAGTAATTACACTTTTCAATACGTTTGTGCTCGCTTATCAGTTACTTATCATTACATTGATAAGACTTGCTTGTTTAACCGGTGCCGTGGTTGTGTGATGTATAAATCGGAGAAATACGTGGCTTATAAGCTTGATGAAGTGAAAGATGATGCAGCTGAATGGATCCGGAAAACTCTTGGGCTTGCTAAAGTAGATCATGTTAACGCGTGTGCAGTTCAGAGTTTCAGTGGTAAAAGAGAAATCTCCAGGGAAGTCATTGCTCAGAGTCTTAACGCTGCGTTAAAAGTTATGTATAGACAGTCGTTGTACATTAATCAGCTAGAGAAGTATAATCAGAAATTGCACTCCGATGTAATTGACAATCAGGGGACAGTAGTTGTATTGCAGAAAGAGCTGCTAGTTGCCAAAGACAAGCAACTTGATGACTTGAAATCTGTTGTTGTAGCATCAGTCGAGGATACTGTGAAATCAGAGTTGAAGACATACAGCGCCGCAGTACAGGCATCAAAAACCTCAGCAGCAGGTCCTTTGTTGCATTCGGATAGAAACATTTTGAAGAATGTCATCAAGGATGTTGTGGCAGAAGGAGACCGAAGTCGGAATCTGATGTTATTTGGTATTAAAGAAGAGAAAGGTGAGCTGTTATGCGACAAGGTCGCTCAAGTGTTGTTGGAACTTGGCGAAAAGCCAAAAATAGAAGCTAGCAGAATTGGTTTGAATAAACCAAAGGATAAGAAACAAGTGGCTGACAGACCTGTTAAGGTGACTTTGACGA